CAGGCTTGACATCAAAGTACGTTCACCTTAAGTGCATGTGTATCGTTTTTCTGTTTGGATCCCGAGATTTAGAAAGTGGCAACGGTCATTCCGCTTCCGTGCGTCATTAACGCGTGACCATTATCGACTACGCGTATAATCTCGCATCCGTTCGCATACATGGGTGTATTGTACGGATGCTGATAAAACAAACGCGTTTGGTTAAATGGCTCTTATTGAAAAGAAGCACTTTAATGGTTGCGACACTCTCGGAATGAAAATGCCGCGTAAGAGATCAAGATATATATTAATAGTTGTTAAAAACTTGCCTCATACTTAGATTTTTACTCAGAATCAAACTGAAATTCTTCAGTTGAATTATGATGGGTGTGACATTTATATTTGTAGTCGTGGTTCAACTGAGAAACTCTTATCTAACTTGAAAGCTCTAAATTGAAATCTGAGTATTTCACTTGAGACAAATTTTAAGTAATGACTATAAACACTGACAAGTATATTTGTATTTTCATGCCTGAATGTTGTTGACCGATCACGAGTTAACGTGTTTGCTTCGTATAAAGATTCACCTTTGAGGTTTCAGGAAAATCGAAAGACCATATTTTAGAAAAAATAGCGACTGGTTAGAAAAAAATTCCACTAAGGTATATGCTCTTCCAAAGGGAAGCGCAGCGAAACTCGATATGTTTGCAAAATTTGTCGTGTATCACTGCACATAGATAAGTGCTATACCGTATTCGAAAAAATTATTAAATATATAATAAGTCTCATTTCAATACATGATGTGTAATTAAAGTATATTGAAGTTTATTTAGATAATTTCATTTTATATTTAATTGCGGAAAAATAGCCGGCTCCACATTTTGGCTAGAAATAATTGGTGAGCAAAATGCTAATACGGGCTCAAAAACATATCCGTTAATCCGTTATTCTCTGGGACAGACCTGATTGTTTTTTCTTTTTTTTTTAGTAGAAGCGCAGGTTTTTTCTCTTTCGCGGAAGAAGAAGCGTCTTGCGAGAACGAAGACAATGGATTACGTGGATTGGGTCGGAAGGATGATTGATCAGGAGAAAGCTTACGCGCAGAGCCATACGGCATACGGTTTCCTTTCTGCTCGCCGAGAGTGTTACGCACCTTATCATTTCCTCGATATTACTGTATAAATTGCCGGCATTAGACGAAGAAGTTTGTCGACACGTTTCGCGGATCGACCGCTTCGACATTTCCGAAGGAAACCGACTTTCCCTCGCCGGCGCAACAAGTCGAGAATGAGCCTGCGTTATTTAGCGTCACTTTGGACTTTCGACTTCGTGCGGGAAAAAAACAAAAACCTCTTGTGGGACACGTGAGCAGACGCGTCTATTTCTTTAATAGGAAAATACACGATACGCGCGAAAAAAATTAACCTAATTATAATTAAAAAACATGTCACGTTCGTGCTTTGTAGTTAACTATATTGTCATAATAAAAAGTCATAATAAGAAAACACTTGGATATTATAGCTGGATTAACAATAACCAAATCTCTGATCGTTGTTAGATATATTTAAATGTTCTGGAATATTTTATTATAATAACCAGAGAAATTCTGTTCAACTGAATCTTATTTAATTAAACATGTCACGTTAATGCAACCGTGATTGTTCTCTCTATATGTGACGGTATTGTAGTCATTGTGAACAATACATTATTGTCGTCCGGAGACATTATCCGGTATCGAGACGGTGCACAGAAATAGTCATGTATTGCGGATATCGCGTTCAATTATCTATGAAGGGAAAAACCAAGGAAGCACATGTTTCATGTCGCGTTACTTTAGTTTGTTCTTTCGCGTGGATTTGATCGCACGGTACTTATTGTGAAGTGATTAAATAACAAAGTTCTCCTAGAACGAGTTTTGTGTTGCGCTAATAATTTCTAAATCCAAATTCTGATTCTACGTTAAGTCTGCGAATGCCGTCGAACTTATAGGTCGTTGAGGACCCGAGTCGAAATTTTGATTCTATATTGATCCTGCAAATTTCGTCGAACTTGAAGAGTCAATGAAGAATCGCGAAATGTATAAATTATTGACTTACCTGGATGCTAATATCTGCTTGCTGTTGTTTTCTCCACGTTGAAAACTTGACGTTTGAAGAAGCATTCGTTCAAGAATTATTTAATATCAGGACTTTCATTTAGTTTTGATTATTTAAATTATTTTGCAATTATTTAATGTTTGATTTTTTTATCTCGATATATTTTAATAAAATTTCATTCATAGAGACTGTGTGCCCGGAACAGCCGAGATTCAATGATGAAAATTTTATGTTCTCGACGTTTTCGAACAAGATAACAAAGTCTATACATGGAGATAATTTTATAGTAAAAACCACTATATAGAATTTTGCAACTGCGCGAAGAAATCAACATTCCGCAATAATTGGGTGTCCTTTTATTTCATATGTATGGATTTTTATATTTAAATTTTATTAATTTAAAAAACAAACAGTATATTGAAATGTGCTATTAGAAAATTTTCTATATACCTCGCGAAATTTACTATGTTCCTTACTAAGAACAGTCTATCCTTGAACTACTAGAAACGTATAATTGAAAACAATTTACATTGAAAATATTCTCTCCATGTAGAGAAACACGATAAAAACCGTTTTTAAGTCACCGTTATCCGCTTCCTAACCAATGCATTACACTCTGTGGAAAAGTTAAGTGGCCGAATGCATCGAATGCACAAAATCAACATTCGCTCATTGCCATTCGCGATATAATCGCTCTGCCCGGTTAAAATATTTCCAAAAATATACAACGTTTACGTTAACTTTGACAGAGATAAGAATCCTTAGTTATTGAGCTCTTTGAATTAATTAATTACGTATTAATATATTAATTAATAAATGTACACACGCGATTAGAAATAAGCGAAGTGTGGTTACATTTGAACGAGGAAACAATACGCATCGGAAATGTCACGGGTAGAAAAAAAAACACGCGCGAAGAATCAGATACGAATAAGGGAATCATCGTGAATTCTGGAATAATCAACAAATCATGGAATATTCAACATACATGAGAGAAAAATTGTTGATCCAACTAAAATTATAGTTATTTTTGGCTTTAACTAAAAAATTTGGTTGTTCTAACACGAAAATTGTAGTGACATGTATATAAATCTATTATCACTAACGTTAAAGTAGAAGTTATTAGAAAAAATTCCTTGATAATTATTTGTAATAGTTATTTCTCTATGTGATTATAGTTAAAAAAACATTTGTTTCTCGGTGTAAGATCACTCTTGTGACGTTATTCGGCGATTTTGTAATCAAGAACGTAATCAAAATATACGAGCAGCATCCTCACCATTTACCTTAGCACTTACCTTAGGTCGAGGATCTTAGAGTCGCTATCGAACTCAATGCATTTCCGGGGGAAATATCGAAAAGGCTGCGCGCACGGATGCATTCGATGCATACGAACAACCACTAGCCAATTGCCATTCACGATGTTTGCACCGTTCAGCCGAAAAATCTCAAAAAACATATATTATTTGTGCAGAAAAGGTAACAATTCTCGGCCATCGAACGGTGCAGATCAATTAATTATTTGACAAAATCCATGCTTTTCCCATTGCTCCTTTTCGCACAGAGTAAGGCCAGGAACACACAGAAAGACATAAGTATTAAAACTTAAGCGAATTGATCAACCACAGTCGATGATTCTTCTTACGGTTTAAGAATAATCGATTGGTCAATTTTTTTACTGCTTAAGTTTTATTGCTTACGTTTTCCTGTGTGTTCAGGGAATGGAAACAGTTAGAGAAATTATGGTAGTAACTCATATTGTGAGGCTTCCGTGAGAGTCTCCAAAAGATATTTTTCAAGGAGACTAAAAACAAATTGTCACGACCACTCGATTATTGCTCGATACTTCATTGTTATAAATATACTATAATTGACAATGAGCGAGGGGTGACACTATCATACAGTTAATATATTAACTAGTCAATATACGCGATTGGCAATTGAAGTGTGGCTATACTCAAACGAAATTCATTTATATATTGATTGACGAAATTTATATATTAATAAGCGAAAGTTGAATTATTTAATAAGAATTGGTATGTGGGTAAATAGATAAAAAAACTAGACTCAATCTCATCTCTTCCTAAATTTTTCCTTTTCTTTTTTTCTTTTCTTTTTTTCTAACCTCTTAAGTGGTCTGTCCGGAAAATTTTCGTGATAAAATGTTAAATTCCTTTTGATTTACTTAAACTAGTATATTGTTTTGAACTCATGAAAAATATAAATTAGATATATTTTATATTCTATTCTTCAAAATTCTTCACATAAAATAGCAATAAAGAGAAAAGAAATCTACATGTAGTTATTGAAAAATAAAACACGCCTAGGAAAAATCACGTAATCATTTTAAATCATCACTCAGATAAGATATTAATGGAAGTTTTGATGAGATTTGTAGTTCTTAAAAGAACTGATATGAAGCTGTGAAGAAATAAATAACAATTACGTGTCCAATAATGCTGTTTAGAGATTCAAATTTAGATTCTGTACAAAGCCAAGAAATACAAGAACAAAGCCAGAAGAAAAGCGTTGGAAAATATAAACAAGCAAATTCTTGGCAATCGTGAGCCAAGAAGCATTATTAGACGGAAAAATCAGCACTTGTGAAATCAGATTTCATTATATTTCAATACCGATATTCATAGAGAGTTGTGAATTATTTAAAATTTTTAATTGAGAACATAATTAATTACAGATTCATATTCATGGACCATTGTCAGATGTTTGAATCAATGTTTCTTATATAAAAAAAAAAAAATGTAATAAATACAGGTACAGATTAACGTTTAGAGATCAATGAAGCTATAATTATGTGCCGAATAATGACAAACTATGAATATCGACTGAAATTTCGACTCGGGTATTTCTCAATAATTAAGCGCCCGTTAAAATCAAAAGCATTATGTAAGGAATGACTTTTCGTACCTTGGAATGATGTATCGCTGCTCGCGTCCTCCGTTCTGATTTCTCAATTCAACACACTGCTTTTGGCTGCTTTGTTGCGACACTGACACTGACACTCGCGTAGGTGCGATTCGATCGCACGTAATAAATAACGCAAATATCGCGACAAAAGATTTAATTAAATATCTCAAAGACGAAACTATATA